CCCTGCGTGATTCTAAAATGTCAAATCTTCGCAGTGCCCTCACTCCTCGCCCTCGGTGCCAGAGAAGCTTCCACGGGGAAACTTAAAGGACCATATTATCCTCCAGACTCCAGAGGAATTTTTATAGGATTTATCTCGGATTTTTCTTAGGTAAATGTCACTTGAGGTCGGGTCGGTCAGGTGACCTAACCATTGTAAGCCGGTGGAAATATGTATTGAAACTTTCATCTTGGCGCTGGGATAACTAGTGACTACCTCAAGCACATGTAAGCGTAATTTAATGCAGTCCTTGCAAGGTACGATGCCTCACTTTTGCATCGTTGACATCTCGTGACGTCATTTATGACGCCAGTCAGGACAAAGGTATAGGAAGGAGGGTGAATTGCGCCACCTTAAGGAAAAACGCTAATTGTAAGAAAACCGCTGGAGATATAAGCATGCACTGGTAACCATTTCAAAGAGGAACTCATTGGCTACGATTTAAGAGCCTCCCGATCAATCAAGAATGTTTCGTTTGCTTCTGACAGCTGCTTTTCAGAAACATGCAAAAGGGCGCATTTGCCAACAACTGCTGTAAATTGCGCCAGGGGGATGGCGCAATTAGAACCCAATTGCGCCCTATACTTTAACCCGCGCCCTGCTGGGGGGGGGGTGTTTGAACACCCCCCCCCCTTGTGGTTTTTCGCGAATATCTCAAAAACGGCGGCGCGGAGCGCCGCCGTTTTTGGTACACCTTACCATACATCAATTCTACACATGTTGTGAAAATTTCAGACCAAGGTCATTCAAGGTCAGGTCACCAGGTCACTTGAAGTGACCTCACCTCATAAAAAGTTTCAATGTCTGTCATAGCTACACCGAGTGACCGATCGCTTTGAAACTTTCAGCGATTGCTAAGAGCAATAGCATGTACAAAATGTATATCTCAGAATTTTGATATCGATGACCTAAGGTCAGGTCAATTTTGCGACCTCCCCATTATAAGTCAATGGGAGAAAATTGAAATGCGCCTCTTTTGGATGAAAGACATTATAAACACTCCCAAACACCGAATTACAAGTGGTTTAGACACACTGAACTTGAAAATGGTGTCCGTGACCCTTGTTTATGCCCTGAGGTCATCTTAGGTCACGAATGGTATCTAACAGTTTTTCGCAAATAACTTTTGATAGAGGCATGCTAGAGCGATGAAAACGCCTTAGATGTGTTCAGCTCGACGATACGGATCGACTGATATGCAACATGACCCTTTCCGGTCAGGTCATGACCTTGACCTGAGGTCAAATTTTCAAGTTGACCTTTCAAGGTCAAGTCATAGTTCATTCGATGCGTCTTGACGAGAGGAACACGATGCCGGTAAAAGTAAGCTCGTACAAGGCTTGGGTCAAAAGTTATTGCAGAAAAACTGTTTTCGAAAAAATCGGCTATTTTTGCAGTTTTTGCCCCCTGCAGGCAAAACCGTTGACGTTAGGTCAAATCTGAGAGAATTACTCAGAAAGGGCGTTAATAGGGCTATCGAATGCGCTTTTCCGCGGCGCTGTAGCTCTATTGGTTCCCGAGTTATGCGTTGGCTTCTTGGAAATTTTCGACATTCGACCTGGAAATCGGCGAAATTTTGCCTTCAATGACCTCTGGTGACCTGACCTTTGACCTGACCAAAAAATTGACCGAAGTGATTTCGTCATTATTTTTTACGCTCTTTCGAACGCTGCCTTCCGCGTATCGCTACGTGGCCCAGGAGCCGAGTTACAAGGGGGGGGGGTGTTCAAACACCCCCCCCCCCCCCCCAGCAGGGCGTGGAAATCCAGGACCCCCAGCAGGGCGCGGGTTAACATGGCTAAGCGAATGAGACAGAATGCATACACCCCGGCAGTCTAATGTCATTGCGGCTCACTTTAACATTTATAATGTTTTTCACGCTGGTTAACTAATAAATGTAGGTGTAAATCGCGATGTTTTTTACCCAGGTAGATAACTTTACATGTGTCCGTACGCTTGTAAAAGTGCAACGAAAACGTTTATTGTAACCGACTAGATATATGTGAACGTATGCGCCTATACGGTTACATTTTCAATCGTTTTTCTCAAAATTAATAATTATTATCGTTTCGACAGCTTTATGACATCAGTTTTTACTTTTTATCATAGCTGTCACCTCTCACGTCTAAGTCCATGTTGAAAATGTTGTATTTTGTCAATTACACCACAAGTTCGAAGCCTAAATGGCAGCTGCATTATAAGTTTGACGAGAGAAATAATTTGCGGACTGACGACAGCGGGTTGCTACCCTGCCTGACATTAAACTCCTTCTCTATTGCAATCAGTTAATGATGCATTCATACTGTCGTGATATAATAGCTACACCATTATTCTATTTGCGCCCCCCTGGCGCAATTGCCATGGGCGCATTTAGAATTGAGGTACTTTTTAATAAAAGCGTAGAAGTTATCACAAAGATGTTGAAGGAAGTTTACTGTTTCAGCGAAATATAATGAAAAAAGTGTTTTTCATTCTTAATATCACTCTGAAAATCACCCAACTATCACAAATTTTTATAGCCAATGGTTCAAAATACTGCAAAAAAGTTAAGAAAACGCCGTAACATCTTTGATGGCGTAATGAGCCTTGCTGATTGGCTTTATCGGAGAGCTTGGGCCATAAAAAGAACTAACCAGTGGGGAAAATAATGTTTTCGAACACAAAATTCAAAACATGCAATTGAATCCGTGGGAATGTTGGTGGGCGCAATTGGTTAGGAGGGCGCAATACACCCACTTTCCCCTATGAGTTTTTCGTCAATACCTCTCGGTCAAATTGATCTAGCGAGTCAGGAAAATCACCACTGAACTCGGAAAGACCTTCCGAATCGAGTATGCAATATGATATCCTCCGACTGATTTCGTGACCTGCGGAGCTCTGACCTGACCTTGACCCGCAGTCTACTCTCTAAGTTGACCCCACATAAACAAAAGTATTATGCGACGCGCCCGAGCATGGAGAGCACGATGGTGCAAAATTTGCGGCTCTGCGACCTTTTTGCAAAGTAATTTACCAAAACAAACCCGTGCATTGGGGCATGCTTGACCTGACCTCAGATATCACCAGCTGACCAGAGACATTAAAATGGGGTACCAGTCGATGTGTTTCGCAGCAGCACACATGCTCATTTTTTCCCGCGAGTCTGTAGTTCAATATAAGGGGTGAAACGGTGAGTTGGGTCGCACCCCCCCCCCTCCCCATTCCCATAGGTACCTCTCGGCCGGGACTACGCAGAAAACCGGAAGGTCCCGGGCGAGGGCAAATGCTCGCTCAGGCCATCTCGGTTGATACGGATAATGAATTGATACGTTCTTGGTGATCGAGCGGCCGCCCCCCGTCCTTTGACCTTTTCTATTGAAAAACGCACGTCCAGGGTGTTATTTTCGGCGCTAGGTAGATGTCCTGGTCAAAATTTTTAAAAATTTGACGTTTAACCCGCGCCCGGCTGGGGGTCCTGGATTTCCACGCCCTGCTGGGGGGGGGGGTGTTCGAACACCCCCCCCCCTTGTAACTCGGCTCCTGGGCCACGTAGCGATACGCGGAAGGCGGCGTTCGAAAGAGCGTCAAAAATAATGACGAAATCACTTCGGTCAATTTTTTGGTCAGGTCAAAGGTCAGGTCACCAGAGGTCATTGAAGGCAAAATTTCGCCGATTTCCAGGTCGAATGTCGAAAATTTCCAAGAAGCCAACGCATAACTCGAGAACCAATAGAGCTACAGCGCCGCGAAAAAGCGCATTCGATAGCCCTATTAAAGCCCTTTCTGAGTAATTCCTCAGATTTGACGTAACGTCAACGGTTTTGCCTGCAGGGGGCAAAAACTGCAAAAATAGCCGATTTTTTCGGAAAGTTTTTCTGCAACAACTTTTGACCCAAGCCTTGTACGAGCTTACTTTTACCGGCATTGTGTTCCTCTCGTCAAGACGCATCGAATGAACTATAAGTTGACCTTGAAAGGTCAACTTGAAAATTTGACCTCAGGTCAAGGTTATGACCTGACCGGAAAGGGTCATGTTGCATATCAGTCGATCCGTATCGTCGAGCTGAACACATCTAAGGCGTTTTCATCGCTCTAGCATGCCTCAATCAAAAGTTATTTGCGAAAAACTGTTAGATACCATTCGTGACCTAAGATGACCTCAGGGCATAAAGAATGGTCACGGACACCATTTTCATGTTCAGTGTGTCTAAACCACTTGTAATTCGGTGTTTGGGATTGTTTATAATGTCTTTTGTCCAAAAGAGGCGCATTTCAATTTTCTCCCACTGACTTATAATGGGGAGGTCGCAAAATTGATCTGACCTTAGGTCATCGATATCAAAATTCTGAGATATACATTTTGTACATGCTATTGCTCTTAGCAATCGCTGAAAGTTTCAAAGCGATCGGTCACTCGGTGTAGCTATGACAGACATTGAAACTTTTTATGAGGTGAGGTCACTTCAAGTGACCTGGTGACCTGACCTTGAATGACCTTGGTCTGAAATTTTTACAACATGTGTAGAATTGATGTATGATAAGGTGTACCAAAAACGGAGGCGCTCCGCGCCGCCGTTTTTGAGATATTCGCGAAAAATCACAAAGGGGTTGTCAAACACCCCCCCCCCCCCCCCCAGCAGGGCGCGGGTTAAAGAAAAAATAGGGGTTTCGTCTGTAATTGATAACGTAAACCGTTTTCTACCACACAAGTGAGCCAAGCGATGATAATTAATTCGCAGTTTGGCACTCAAATCGTGGAAACCAAGCATCTTTCCCTAATCCGTGCCGCGTGCGTACGATTCACGACGGCTTTCCGATCTTTGGAGATGCCGACCGGTTCCGCCATCGGCTGTATGGGAACAGCGTCGGTGCGGGCCGGGACCGCGCGGGCACCGAGTGTCGCATTGCAGTAAAGAATCGACCAATCAGAGAGCAGGAGCGGCTCCGGCGCGTATGACTACCACACACCGGGAGAATATAGTACCAAGTGCTCGAAGAGTTTTTAGAATATTGCGATTCAAAAGACGTAAAGTTTTGTTTTAAATGACAGCAACAAATGATTTCTTTGTTAACCATCACTTTTCATGCACAAAATAGCGAGGATTTTCTTGTTCACGTGATTGTGTAGCAGTGTGTGAAAGTAGTACCCTGCGCACGGCGACCGAGGCGGTGTGGTCGGCGCGGGAAACTGCTCGCCGCATTTCGTTCCGTGGCTCAGTTCGGTTTGAATTCGTGTCGTGTGAGGTGTGCCGTCGCGAGCAAATCATATCACCATGGTACGTATGGATATGGCGGCAACTTGCACTTGGTGTTTGTGTGAAATCAAGTGTGATGGTTTAGAAGTGAAGTGCCGATTCGCGGTGACCGGATGGCCGCAGTGCCGACATGGAATGGATTTGAGATTGGATACCCAGGCTGGTGAGATTGATCCGGTTAAAAGATAGCTAATTTCTGGATATATGCCCTTCATTTCTGGTACCTCGGACAGGCCTCTCCGTTGAGCTGGCGGTGACGGTGCGTCGGGTTTGCCGCGCAGTGAAGAGGGGTAAAATGAAGCAAAATTGGATGCCCTTCTTAGCGTTTTCTGATTTGGAATCGCTTAAATCTGTTGCTGCCTTCTATCTACATGTATCAGTCAAGCTCAATCCTCGTCTAGAATCGTTATTGGAGCAGCGCAGGACATTTATTCTTCCTTGGGAATGTCCTGCCTCCAGTTGAATTTGAGCCAGTTTCCATTTTGCTAAAATTGGGTCCAACGAATGTCAAATTGAGGCATTGGATAGGAGGTACCAGGGGGGTACGCTCCGGCTGTTTAGCATTATGAAAAATGGTGACAGACGTTTGTGGAGGATTGTCGACGAACTCTTGTTCCGTGAGCAGTACTTACACGCTAGCGGAAAATTCACCAATCAGCGCTCGGCGGTACTCGACGCTGATTGGTCCGACGCTCGTGACGAAATTGCGGGGGACCGCAGTTATTCTCTATGGACCCGAATAGGCTTTTGGATTTCGGAGGGGTTTCTTTAAAATTATATGCTGTTTCGAGCTGTTTTCGAGTTGAAATATATTTCTTATGACTGTTACCTATATAATGGCACCATAAAATCATGATTTTGATAAATATTACCCATGAAATATCGGCCGAAAAGACATGCTGTCATGGTACGGACTGCCCTGCGGCTGATGTGGGGTCCCTAATGCCAGCGTATGGTAATAATGGGGTGACGAAGGGTTATTGGAGACTCTTAGAGCCCCATCAGCATTCAGCATAGGGTCATCAGAGGCCGGGAACGTCCATCAGGGGTCTGAGTAGGCCTGTCATAGGGGCATACATGACACATCATGGCCCATGGGTCAATGTAGATCCATGGGGCCGTTGAAGGGCCATCATTGTTCAGCGTGGGCTCGCAATTACCTCTGATGGGCATATGCCGTGCCCCGATGGACTAACGCTGGCCCCTGATGAACCATCACCAGCCCCTGATAGGTCTACAAAGCCCACTGCTGGGTCTAAATTGGTCACTGATATGCCCAAATGGGCCACTGAGAAACCCGTACAACATCCCCTGACTGCACCTGCTGGACCAGTGCCGTCCTCTCATGGGCCCACCACAGCTCTTGAATGACCTTTTCAAGTCCCTTGAAGTGCCTTTATTGGCCTAAATGGCCCCTGATTGGCTTATGTGGTCCCTATTGGTCCTATATGGCCCCCATGAGCCCTCAACGTCCCTAGACGGCCTTACATTATATGTCACTGGGCCCTGTTGGGTCAGCACCGGCCCCTGATAGGCTTGCACTGGACCCACCGGGCCTATACCGACCCATGAAGGGCCTATGTCGAGCCCTCATGGGCCTCCGATGACCACACGCCGGCATGTGTGGCCCCATCAGCAGTGGTCCGTCTATCCCATGTACTTACGGTCTTTTTGGTCGATGTGACACCGGTAGTATATAGAAATGTTATGATTAAATGTCGTTATTACACAGTCAAAAGTCACAGAAAGAATATCCAAGCTCAAAAATGGCCTCAAACCCAACAAAAACTGGTATAAATCCCCTTCAAAAGCCGTAAGTCTATTAAACGCCATAGGGGAATAGCTGCAGTCCCCCGCAATTTCGTCACGAGCATCGGGCCAATCAGCGTTGAGTATTGCCGAACGCCGATTGGTCGATTTCCGCTAGCCTGTAAATGCTGCTTGCGGATATAGTTTTGAACAAAAGAGGGTCGCGGCTACTAATTATCGCTTGTCACCACTTTTTCGTCGGGAGCGTTCTACCTGGTTTATATAGCCTTGGGAGGTACCAAACTAAGACCAATTCAAAATTGATTTCAGTTATACTGCGTGGATAATGTAACCATCTCTCATTCGATTCTCTCCACCTGTAATTGTATCTTTGATTCAACAGGCCGACCAGCTGACCGAGGAGCAGATCGCCGAGTTCAAGGAGGCGTTCTCGCTGTTCGACAAGGATGGCGATGGCACCATCACCACCAAGGAGCTGGGCACCGTGATGCGCTCCCTGGGTCAGAACCCCACCGAGGCCGAACTGCAGGACATGATCAACGAGGTGGACGCGGACGGTGAGCGCCTTTTCGATCTGGATCACGAGTTCGTTCAGACCGCGGCGATAGCCGGCTCTCTAGGGCGTGGTGACTTGCGGGGTGCGGCGGTGCGGTTATGAGTCATCGCTGGTCGCCGGGAGAGTTCCGCCTGACCGGATACTGACGCGGCACCGTGGGGTGCGGAGTAGGGAATGATGACAGAGTTATGACGGGTTGCACTCGCTGGTGGTCTTCCAAACTTTTAAGAGGGGGGGGGTCCATACCTGGCTTTGAGATGGCGTAGGGTGGGGAACTCGGCACAGGTGCATTGAAATGTGCCCACCTTCGATCAGTGTCAGCGTACAACGTGTATCGTCTCATGGAATTGTACCGTTTGCAGGAAACGGCACCATCGATTTCCCCGAGTTCCTCACCATGATGGCGCGGAAAATGAAGGACACCGACTCAGAAGAGGAGATCCGGGAGGCCTTCCGCGTGTTCGACAAGGACGGCAACGGCTTCATCTCAGCTGCCGAGCTCAGGTGGGTTGTAAAATCAGGAAATGTGGTCAAACGCCATGCCGGTTCCGTACTCTATGTATATAGATCGGAGGAGTTGCGATAACATTACGGTTTACCGGGGGCTCAGTCGATCGCGGCCTCGCGTTTGTTTTGTTTGCCGCTGTGACGTGTCGTCGGTAGTGCGGTTTTCGGTAACGGACCCCTGCATGCCCGTATTGATCCAAGGTCGAGGCACTGACTCGCCTCGGCCGCAGGGTGCTGCATTATGTATAGCCGTTGGCGCGAGGGTGTCGCGCCAGGGGTGGTGGTAACGGTCGGCCGGTGTGCCAGGACGGATAGGAAGGATTGTAATATGAACAGCTCTGTTTGCACTCGGCTAGCTGCACTCGGCTGTATTTGTTTTCCAAAGGCATTCAGTCACATGTCGAGCGTTGGTCACATGGGCGTAAACTAGAGACTGTCCAGCACGGTTAGGGCTAACGTTAACAAAGTTTAGCAGTTGCCCTTAACTTAGTTTTTTACACTTATAAACAATTATGTTCAGGCTAAGAGCAGTCACTTGTTGCGCTTCCTATGAAGGGGCCACATTTCCGCAGTAGGCGATAGCAGGTAGCAATGCGACGTTGCCAGCATACTTAATGACGCTTCATGAATGATGCCCACTTGCCAATGCGATGTTGCGGTTTAATGATGCTCAAAAGTGCAACACGTTGATGCGAGACATGTTGATTGTGGAACCGGTGTTAAACTTAGTAACTTTCCACTGTTGATTTACTTTCTGAATACCAGATCAGTTCCGTCAAACAGACAGGTTAAATAGCTTTGCCACGCATCCACTACTGATGCCACTCAGTTTCTACACTTGTGCAGGCGTTTGCGGCTGACAGGTGGCGGTTAAAGTGCAGCTGGTCTATTCACTGTCGGGCCGGGGCGGGCCTCTGGTGACTGGCAGTCGGCTGGCTCCCAGACGGTGCTCTAACGGCCGTCTGGCCAGGCCTGGCGTGCGTTCAGGTGCCAAATGGCCGCCGGTGGAGACAGACCACCCGAGATTCCTGAGGGATGGCGTCATTTCAGCGTAACGGCTGCATTCTTTCTCTGGAATTAGCAGTGTGGACGTCGTATGACCGGAGACGCCAACTAAAAGCTAAACGTTAATCGTGCATTGACCTACAAAAGCATTTCCGATCGGAACAATGCTTATCTGACAAATCCGAAGGTGAAATTGGGCACAGAGTGAGCAAAAGAGTGACTAGTCTTTCAGCCAAATCAAAAATTTTGCTATCGAATAATGCCCGCACAATTGCCTTATTTTATGGTTTCGTCTTTCATTGATTGACCTCGTTGTCTTTTGTCGTCAGGCACGTGATGACCAACCTGGGTGAGAAGTTGACAGACGAGGAGGTGGACGAGATGATCCGGGAGGCCGACATCGATGGAGACGGCCAGGTCAACTACGAAGGTCAGTACCACAGGGCAGGAGGGATACTTCTATCGTACCTAGTGTACTTTTGTGCTGTACTCAGCTGGAGGAGAGGGGGGGGGGGATATTTCGAGTAGGAACTGGGCCACTATGCTGGAATTTTTTGTGTTGTATAAGTGACGGCTGGGTGAGCAATAAAGGTAAAATGTGTTTCATTTATTAGCCAATTAAAGCGAACCGCAGCGTCATTTATCTACGCCAGCGGCTTAACATGAACTAATAATAGCGAGGCTAAGCTCTGGCTGCTACCGCCACCGTGGCGAATGGGCTGCTCCGACCGTGTAAGGTCAGCGGAGCGGAAAGTTGACTGTATATTGGCCTGTCTCTTGTTTATCATATTAACACCTGTCTCTCTCTGTCCCGCAGAGTTCGTCACAATGATGACGTCCAAGTGAGCAGCGGAACAACCGGTGCGTGCCGTATTACAACAGAGCATCGTGACAATATAGGTGCTATATTGTGCGGTGCGGGCGTGGCGGCGGACGGCTCGGCGCCAGACGCCAACTGGCGGGCCGAGACCTTCAGTCCTCTACATTCCTGATTTTTATACGTCTCCACTGTGGTAGCTGGGGTCGCCCGGTAGCCGCGATCGTCGCCATGCGCTGTCGTCACCGCTCTTCGTGTCCACCATTTATTCTCCGTGTTCCCCCGTGATGCGTTCTGTTTGCGTTTCCAGCGTGGTTCTGGTTTTATTTATGGGCGCTAGGCGTATTGTGAAAGCGGGCTAGGGCTCGCCAGAAGTGGAGGGTACATGCCGATACCAATGTCAGTCAAACGTGATTTTAACAGTGATTTAGCGTGAAGAGCATGGTAATATATGACTGAGATCAGAGTGAAAATGTGTTTGGCAAATGAAGAGGCGGGCATATAAGCAATTTTGGAAACCACCGTCTACATTGATGCGCATTACTGCTTCTGTCAAACGTGATTAATCTCCGAGCTATCTTATTTTTTTTTTCTTGAACTTAACACTGTCCGGGTAGCTACAATTTTTGCGTGGGCGACCAAATTGATGCCCCTGACAACTGTTGCGGTTAAAGTCCGCACTCTGCGGAGTGAAGCGAAGGTTTATTTTGCCGGTGCCCGCATCCCGAGGCTGGCATCTGCACTAGGCAACACGGCCGTAAATCAGCCTGGCGTCTTGACCGGCTTCGGGGAAGCATGCCGGGCGCCTTGGGGCATGTGCCACCATCGTGAGATGCCCACAGCGGCTCCACGAGCCACGAGCACGTGTGGCTGAGATGTGATGTAGTTCAATCTGTCTGACCGGCCACCGTGTCTTCGCCTGGGACTGCCATTTCCGAGAGCTGCAAATATCCCCGCTGCTGCGGCGGCGGCGGCGGTTATCCGGGGCCGAATCAGCGCCGTCAGCGGGGCCGGCGCCGCTCGCGGGCTGACGTGGCCCCCGGCCGCACTCAGCACAGATTGGCTATCAGCTGCCTCGACAGGGACCTGCGAGGAGCCCGTGAGCCGCGCCGTACCGGATAGGCCGATTGTGCGACCGCCGCGACTCTGCCACGCCCGTGGCTGATCCGCCCCGCGACCGAGCGCCCTCTGCCCCCTCGAGCTGTCTGCAGTCCGATCGGCGGCGGCTGGGTGCAGTTGCAACATACCACCGCGGTCGCTGCGGTCCAAATCGGGCGCAACTTCCCGGGCAGTGGCGCAGTCCAGTCGGTCGCCCCCCCCCCCCCCCCCGTAACGGATGGGGGCTGAACAGAACGGAAGTGACGCGGAATGTGACTGTCACGGTTGGTGGAGTGACTGGGCGCACCGGCGCGTGGTGTAGGTGTGACAGTGCAAACTGCCAGATAGGCGACCCAGACTCGAACACTGCTAATCATAACAAAATTCGTTCCAAGCGCGCATCAGATATGACTCATATAAGGCAATGCCACATTCGACGTCTCTTTTTATACTTTTTCTCTGTCTCGTGTTGGATGGGGAAAACGCCAGACCGTCTCATTAAAAATGACTGCATTTATTGCCTGGAATTTGGTGTTTCCCTGCAAGATTTCCTCTTCAACGAACTCTGAAATGTCAATGAATGAGCGGGTGCTCGGACATCCCGTTGAGTAGTTATTACGAACTTCCATCGTTTTAGCGGTATCATACATTTCGTCTGACAAGGTGACTCGGGTGTGCCGTATATGACATAATGTGGGATATATTATGCCGCTCGCGACACAATATAGAGAAATATCGTTGACATACCTACTGAATGCACGGTCACACCATTGCACGTGCATACCGCGCCGCCTTGGAACGTCTCCCGGTTTCTGGTCTGACCGGCCGGCCGTCCCGGTTTCTAATTCGCATACCTACGGCGCTTCCCATGAACTCCCATCGCCTCTGGCGGGCTCAGGACGGGCCAGTCGGTCCGGCGAGGGCCGGTGGCGGCCATCCGTCCGTCCCCGCCGCACCGGTGACTGGTCGGGCCAGTTCAGTGACGCGCGGTGGCCGGTGTTCCGCTCCCGCCATCGCGCGCCCCCGCCCTCCCGGCGCGCCGACCGGCCTCTCCCGCCGTCGCGGCTGACCTTGGCGCGCGCTCGCTGGAGCGCGGCTGCCACGTGACCGTCTCTCCGTGGCGGGAAACTCGCCGCGTTTGGGAGGGGTGCCGCCGGGTCGGCCGGACAGCGACCGGCCCTGGAGACGGGAGGGGAACGGTGAGTCGGTGAGTTCGGTGGCCCTGGGCCGCGGGCGGGGAAGGGACGGGAGGGCGGCGGGATTTTTCGTGTAGGGCTACTATGTGGCGTAGTTGCGGTCACCACAGACAATGCGGTTGAAGCATTAATTGGATAGAGCTAGAGGAGATAGAGATAGAGGATAGATGTGCCATGCTTCGTTCGATGGGGCCATTGTTTGTGGTGTTAGATAATTTCGCGTGGACAGCTGGTACTGGTCGATAAGCAACATTAACGTGTGTGACGTCAGACGTGTATTATGCCTACCGGCACAGTCTGTCAAAATTTTGCTATGTGTTCACTTCTCACACCAAGTCGCCCTCTGACGGCGAATATCAAGTTATCCGATCAATTTTGCTTAGAACGGGTGTGAGATGCAACAACGTTATCCACGATTTCCAAACTCAGGTCACAGGTGCATTCATGATTGATTGCCAACAGCTTTTGCGCTATTATCATGGCATCAACGCCCGTCGCCCTAGTCCTGAGATTCATGGCCGACGGCCGACAATCTCCGACAGTGGTCGATGACGTCTGGGATAAGCTCTGATCGCCGGCGAGTCCCAAGTCCGTGTCCGTCTCACGGGCCAGCGGCTCACGTCGAGTGCCGCCAGCCCCGCCGAGCGGTGCCCGTATCTAGCCAAGGCTGATTGGGTGACTTCTCCAAGTACGGCTCCGCCTGCCCTCCGGCGCTGCCCATCCGTCTGATCAGTGATGATAGATGGGTCGCCCTGGGCAGGGCCCTGGTAGTACGCATATCCGGCCCCGTAGTTATAGGTGGCGCCAGCTGCCAGAGGCCGAATATCAATGTAGTTCATATGAATGACCGGCAGGTGTCGCGCAGGTTTAGTACGCCCGCCGGGCGCCGGCATCTGCTGTATCTTATCTGGGTACCTTCTTGAGAGGTCTGAGGTGTGGCTTGTGAGCGTGAGTCGATCTTTTAAGATAAACAGTAAGTGCCGGCGCAGTGGCTAGACGTCTGAAGCGCGGATAGGAAGGGACCAGCAGGGTCAGGTAAGGCTGTCCGCCTGCCTTTTCGCCCTTTCCGCTCTTCCGCAGTAAGTTATTTGTACCTAATGCATTTCCGTTTAACAATTTAGTCACCACTAATCGTCATTAACATCCATTGTTGATCTAGTATACGAGCAAATTTAAGCTTCAGACCTGCTGATTTAGCATTTGACGATGATGTGTACTATCCGTGAAGTGTGATAGTTATGTCATATAATATATATTTTTTAAGTTTAAAGCCATTGAATGGTAAATAAATATGACAATGTTAGTGCAAATGCATGATATGAAATGAATGAATATGACATTAAGAACTTCTTAGGCCCAAGATACTACATAGTTGATTGCATGCAACTTTTGTCAGATTTAATGGCTTTTTAAAGGCCTCGGTAAGGTGGCCTTCATAGAGGCTCATGTGCACTCAATGGTTGGTCGCTAATTAAACCATTGGCAAAATCGTACCTTGACAACATGCACCTCGGGTAGGAAATAAGCGCTAAGCGGTGCAACAAGCACTTCTAGCCCATTTAAAGTTTCGTATCCCTTGTCAATTTCCCGAAACGTTGCCATGTGTGTCTCACATTTTCTCTCCGCATAATCGGCATTGACCGGCAAAGTCGACCTGTTTTCAGCCCTGACCTCCACACTACTCGATTGCCAGGGTCCTTCCTACTTTGTCCATCTGACGGTTCACCATGGTGTCCAGCACCTACTTCAAGGTGGCCGAGACGAGGACGGCAATCGTCACCCTCCTGCTCTACTACGTTCTGGCGGTGAGTGTCGCCGAGTTGTTGATTGGTGAATGGTGTCTGCTGTGAGGACGGTGTTACTGCTGGTGTTTTGGATGGGTACTGCCGAAATGGTGGTTTTGTGGTCTGATGTTCTATCATGTACATTGCTTCGGGCGGACGTCTCACTACGTTGTTGGTTTTGAATTCCGATTATTTATGTAGAGTTGCACTTATAAACGTAAGATTCTCTTTAATTGTTACACTTCTGAATTCATCAGTGGACGGTGCATCGTTTATTGCTGTGAGCAATGAGCATCTCTGTGTATTAAACTTGCCTACCGCACGTATAATTGTTAACCTCTCCCTCACACCGCCCCTCATATCTACCACCTGTGGCCAACTCCTGAGCGGGCGCTGACCTTTCGTACATGTTCTCGCCACAGGCCGTCTGGCTGGGAGGGCCCTGGATCCCTACCTGGCTGCCGGCTCGACTGGCAGCTCTGCTTCAGACCGCTCATGCCAGCTACAGCATCCACGGAAAACAGGGGTGAGTAAATTTTATCCGACAATATTTAAAATATCATAGATCTGACAGCCAAGAGGGCCATTTATTTGAGAGCTTTTCGTTTTTTATCTTTGTCAGAGAAGCCAGATGTATAGACTAGAGAGGCTCCATGCCTTTCATATAAACCTCCGATGCGCTTCATCGGATCCGTCCGTGCCGTATCTAACCCACCACCTCCTCCGCAGGCTGATCGCCATCCCGCTGATCCACTGTCTGGAGTGCGTGGTGGCCCACCGGCGCTGCCGTAAGCTCGGTATCGGCGGCGTCACCCGCGTCCTCTGGCTACTGCAGACCCTGGCGTTCGGTATCGGCTCACTCAAGTTTCTTCTCTGGCCGGTAGAGGACTCTCCGGTGCAGCAGCAGAAGAAGAAGAAGAAGCAGTGAGATGTGGCTGTGCGCGGAACGGTGCAGTTTGTGGCCTGATGAGCCGTTACCAATGCGGTATTTCGTGTTGAAATGAACATTCCTTATTGAATAAACTATGGGGACTTGCTTTGTTGTGTCACCGATGCGATGGTGGGTTGCGAACGATAAGTAATAAAATGCCTCCGACTTCATCGGGGCGTATCTTTCGGTCCCACAGTGGACGCGTCTCGAGGTGAGAGCCGATTTTATGTTTTTTTAATGTCATTCTAAAAAAATAAGTTGCAAGAAAATATGTGTTCTGGGCATTTAGATGTGCACGAATTTGAAAGATCTCCGTGGCGGTGGTGAGGGTAGGTTCTAAGGCTGCGTGAGTGAAAACGGATTTCTCCAGCTGTCCGCTGTTTTTTTAGCACGAGGATGTTTTTTTCCAAGATGGCGGCTAGGTACATGTTGTATCAGAGCCGGGTGGGGTATGTTGTAACATGTATGTATGTATGTATGTATGGGTATGTTGCTTTTGATCGCGAAAGCTAAGCCCTGGCTCGCGTTTGTAGGTAGCAAGTCAATGCTCGTTCCATTTCGGCACAATGTGTTGACTTCTTTGCTCTTAACGGGCCACTTTTGCGTCTAGTCTGTTGATGTTTCGTTCGGATTGCATTGACCTAAGTTTGGTCTAATAAAGTGAAGCCTTTGAGCATACCTATGCATTGTATTAACCTCATTTAATGTTGTTGTTATGTTCAAAACCAGTAGCAAGCACTCTCCCTGAAACATGAAATAGTGATACAAATTACCCCACCATGTGATACAACTCACCCAAGCCATGGGGCAAGTTGTATCAAAAACATTGTTCTATTCGGGAGACCGTAGAAGAAAAACTGGTAGAGGTAGCGGAAAAGTTACTTTGCACAAAAAAGCAGAAGAATCAAGGAAGGGGATAGTATGGAAATAATGAGTTTATCACGGATAGTTACGAGGTTATGGGTCTCGGAGTAAAAACTGATACAACCCACCCCACTCTCCCCTACTATTTAACAAGAAGCATCTGAAAGCCACCCTACATCTACCACTATAAATTTCATATTTCCGTTACGAATTCGAAACATCAGATAAGCTCCCACACATACCTACCCCCTATTCTGTCTCCTGTCTGTACCAGCGGTCACTCGAGATATATTCAACACGTCACCGCCTAGCACCGCCGCTTCTCCGTCACAGCCAAAGATAGTCCCCCCGATAAATGTCGGCGTTTATTTCCAACACGGCAGAACACACGAGGGTATCGGCCGAGCGGCACAGCGCACCACACCGTCCGGTCAGCAGCCGGCCACGGACTTGGGCTGGAAAACCAGTGACGTCATAATTCATAGGGTCGGTGACGTCATTATTCCGGTACAGCGACGTAATACTCAGTGGCTCAGTGGTGTCACAGTGATGCCGCACTTCGGGCTGATGGCATTACACTCCGGGCTGCTGACGTCATAGCTCCCAGATCAGTGACGTCACATTTCGGGCCAGTGACGTCATAATTAGGGAGATGCCGCCGCTGTTTATTGAGACCCGAAAGATAGGACGTGTGAAGGAGCCGTTTCCTCGAGCTGTAACGGACGCACTTTACAATAAAGCGCTCCTATAATGCTGATTGGGATTGGAAATGGATTGAAAATGGTGAATAACGATACTCAGTTTCACGTCATTTAATTGCGGCTATGGTCAGGGGGCCATAAAGAGAGATGCTTCTGTGGAGGAAAGGTAATAGAAGAGGTACATCAAGTACCTACATGGAACAATATATTGTTATATTGTAGACAGACCGTTATTGTTTCGGGTACCACAGTTGTTGTAACAAACCTCTTATGCAACAATTTAACGATATAATATATCAGAGATGTACTCGTCTGAATAAGTGACAAACTGTCTCATGCCTAAGGACTCGTACTACCAATTTGTTTTTATAAAAAGGCCACGCAGCGCACAAGGCTGACACTCCATACGTTGGAATGCTGAGGACTTGCTGATAGGAAATATACCTACGTACTTCATTTACATTCGAGTTGTTGGAAGAGTTAAATTGAGATCCTACAGGGAACATGAATTATTAAGGTTGAATTTTTGGAATGTTATTGAAAGGCGAATACCAGCAATAAGGGTCTACGGTTCAAATAAACGAGTTCAGCTATTTCTTCTTTCCAAACTGTGCTCGGAAAGACGCTTGGATCTTGCTGGCAGCTTTCATCACCTCAGGATCGTTCAGATCGATATCAATTTCTTCGTCCTTAGGCGCCTGGAAGAAGAGCGTTTTTCCTGTTAGTTCTCGTTCATCCAACTGTTGCTCTGTAAATTTAAATTATCAGCAGTAAATTTGGTAGGTGCAGCGAATAGGTAGGTGCTGTCAATCAAGATCTGTCAATAAGTTTGATATGCTTGCTTGAAAATTGATTGTCCTTTTTTAGACTGAAATTGAGAAACAATGGTTTGGACTGCACATTTCTTTCTTTGGAGTACACTATTTCTTTGCAAAAGAATTCAAGCAGAAACCCTTATTTTTCCGAGCCTGTTATATAGACGTGGCATCTTCTATTGATAAATTATGTACCGAAATAAAAATGTATTAACACTCGCAGTTGATCATGCACATCAATATAGATCTAAAAAGGTATATTGCACCGAAGCATGCCACACGATGCCATTACAAATCTACTCACATCAAAATGAAATACTAGACTGCAACTGCATAATGAATATTGAATACACCTACCTTCATAGATCAAAGTGACATTACTATGATGCACCTCGGATGGGCGTCGTGGATTACATTAATTTTTTTATACGACATAACATATGTGTCTTCCTGTTCGAATATCGCAGTAATGCCGTAGGGGAGAGCGGGGCCAGTTGAAACACGGGGTCAGATGAAACATGGCTTTATTTTCAACAGTATGCAACATATGGCGTTGCCGACACCACTGCGCATCCGCGCTCGACCACTTCTTTTGTCAACGGCGTTTGGGCGGCAAACGGACGGTAATTTTGATTTGACACTTGTTTTTGTGTTTTTGAGGGGCGTTTGGGAGAAATCGTTTTTAGGAATATTTTGTGATATCTCATATACCTTTGTTTGCTGAAAGAAGAACTCCTGGCTCCGGAATAACACCTTATTTGGCCCTTCATTCAGCATGATGCCGTCCCTCCAGCTCGTTTTACATGTGCTTTACGGCGCGTGCGAGATGGCGGGAGCGGATGGGGTCAATTGAAACGCTTCTCTGAGGGTCAGTTGAAACAGGGCCACAGGCCGTTTCAATGGACCCCGGTGACCTTTGCAATGGTTATTGTTCAGGAGCTGTAAACATTAAAGGAAATAGTCCACCTTTGAAATGAGCTTTTAAACTGAAATAGTAGTTTAATAGAGCTCAATTTTTGACCCCTTTTTCTCCAGCCTTTTGCTTGAAAGCACACTTTAGCCTGATATATTTCTCATTTTTCTCATCCGCCCATTTTACCATAGTCTTTGTACTTTATATCACCTATTATGAGGAACTTTGCACTTTTAGCTTTCCAGCGACCTATTGAATGTAGCATTTGGAAAAGTAAACCGGACAAAATATCTCCTTAAGAAAGTGGCCTTAAAGAGGAAAACATCCCATTGTTAAGGATAGGTGCAATTGACCCCATGGGCTGGTTCAATTGACCCTCGCATCGGGGTCATTTGAAACGGGCGTAGAGCTGTTTTATAAGAATGCGTTTGGCAGCAAAATATGTTTGAAACGTAATTTTACATATCTTAAAATAAAGCCAAAAGAGCATATTTTTTCATGGCATGGTGCATTTTTCGATATGACAACTAGATCTCGCTGTGCATGTCAATATATAAAAAGTGGTTCAACTGGCCCCGCTCTCCCCTAGTGCCTTCTCATCAAATTACAACGATATGCAAAACTTATCGATTGCGATTCATCCGAGTGTTCGTAGTCGTGTGCTAACGTTAATTACCAGTATAGCGCCTTTTGGGGCGACTAACGGAGCGAGCGAGGGGGTGAGTCTTGCACGTGCGAAATTTCGAGGGGGTACCTCCAACTGACTTGTGCACGGCACCCTACTGACCGGTTTCTAGCGATGTGCCAAATTTGAGCACAATCGGCCCAGCCGTTCTCGAGATCTGGGAGCGGCACCCTGCACGTGCGCACGTGCAAAATGGGTCCCAACTGACTTGTGCACGGCACCCAACTAACTGGTCCCTAACCGTGTACCAAATTTGAGCGCCATCGGTCCAGCCGTTCTCGAGATCTGGAAATGACCCCTGCACGTGCGCACGTGCAGCAGCACTCCAACTCTGGCACATGGATATGCAGTGCCTAGTGGGTGCCTATCTACATGCCAACTTTCAGCGCAATCGGCCAAGTAGTTACCGAGATATTGCAACAATTACAAAACTGACACCTCTTCGTTTTGCACGTGGCACGTGCATAAGGGGTCACCCACATGCATCGGGAATAGTCCAATACTTGGTAGAAGGAATGAAGCTACCCTACAAAATTTACCGCATGTAAATCGGTCAAGTGGTTGCTGAGATATAAGCCTCGCAAAAGCGTCCGCACGGCCGGCCGGCCGGCCGGCCGGCCGCTCATACTCAGAAATTTCCGTTAATCTAAGGAAAGACTACGCTCGCTTCGCTCGCTCCGTAATTAATGCGTTTTGTTTTATCTCACATCCAACTAGCATTTATGGACTCCCCTTCTACAGCTATGTAAATTGATAGACCAGCATCTACTTATGCATCCTCGTGTACAAGTGCATTTTTTCATTGACATGCTACCAGTATAACGCCTTTTGGGGCGACTAACGGAGCGAGCGAGAGGGTGGGCCTTGCACGTGCGAAATTGCGAGGGGGTACCTCCAACTGACTTGTGCACGGCACCCTACTAACCGGTCTCTAGCGACGTGCCAAATTTGGGCACAATCGGCCCAGCCGTTCTCGAGATCTGGAAGCGGCACCCTGCACGTGCGCACGTGCAAAATGGGTCCCAACTGACTTGTGCACGGCACCCTACTAACCGGTCCCTAACTGTGTACCAAATTTGAGCGCAATCGGTCGAGCCGTTCTCGAGATCTGGAAACGACCCCTGCACGTGCGCACGTGCAGCAGCACCCCAACTCTGGCACATGGATATGCAGTGCCTAAAGGGTGCCTACCTACATGCCAACTTTCAGCGCAATCGGCCAAGTAGTTACCGAGATATTGCAACAATTACAAAACGGACGCCTCTTCGTTTTGCACGTGGCACGTGCATAAGGGGTCACCCACATGCATCAGGAATAGTCCAATACTTGGTAGAAGGAATGAAGCTACCCTACAAAAATTACCGCGTGTAAATCGGTCAAGTGGTTGCTGAGATATAAGCCTCGCAAAAGCGTCCGCACGGCCGGCCGGCCGGCCGGCCGGCCGCTCATACTCAGAAATTTCCGTTATTCTACGTAAGACTCCGCTCGCTTCGCTCGCTCCGTAATGACCGACTTTATTTTCATCTCGATCACCGTCTCTATTTCATTTCCTGAGCGATGGAGAGTTTTTTTAGCGCTCCCTGAGTTGAGACTTGAGATGCATAGTGTCAAGTCGTGTTAGTAGATTGCGAGAGCTTCCGCTGCTGCCAAAGTATGATTGACTTTGGAGACCTTAAGCAGGGTATAAGCAGTGTTTGATGGCTATTTTGTCGATTTTTCTGCGCCACGTCGCATTCAACCGGCTGCCTGCATTACATAACACTTTTTAATTAAGTAAATTATGTTGAACTTTACTGGATACCCCCACGCATCTATCGCACACCGGAAGCGACCCATAATTGTCATTTCTTAAGTTACGTAATATATATTACTGTATGCCTGGCCTATTCAAATACATTAGCCTGAGAGGTGTGGTAATAACTGGTGTAAGCAAAGTGACCACGGTCAAAAACGAATTACCAAGTCAACATTTTGGGATGTCCTCGTTCAAAAAACGGCTAAGAGCTTCGGTCTAGACAATTATTTTATCGTTGGCATACAGTAAAATACATACCAAACTCGGCCGGTGATAAATTTTCAAGACCTCAGTCCTTACTGATTTTTGAACTCGGCCTTCGGCCTCGTTCAAAAATTCAGTAAGGACCTCGGTCTTGAAAATTTATTTACACCGGCCTCGTTCAGTATTATATATTACTGACCGGGCCGACGAAATTATTTGGAAACGAGGTTTGCAAAATTGACGGAGGCCCGAGTGCGGAGCACGAGGGCCGGAGTCAAATTTTGCAAGCCGAGTTTCCAAATAATTTCGTACGGCTTAGGTCAGTAAGATTTTTCCTACATGCCGCATGCCTATTAAAACATTTTGACAGGTTTTGGTGACTTTTATACAATTGTTTTGTCCATAATTTCCTAACAATGATTGCGCTACTGCTGCTGTGGATAAAGCTTTGAAGGAAATCCATAGAAGAAAATGCATCAAAATACCTGACTTCAAACGGAATCGTCTCTGAAAATATTAACTCAGAATGGCACAACAACTGGATATCCAAGGAACATAATACATGAATAATTTGCCACGACATAAGAACAAGAAGAAGGCATAACATTCCTAGTGATTTAACGTGAATTTTCCAGTGCTCTTGCAAGAATCTTTTCTTTATTTATGTAATCGTACTTTGTTGATGCCCTATGGCTAAACTTTCGTGAAATACATTATATTTTCCATATTTAACATGTTTGTTTCGAGGAAAGGACTACAACTGTCAAATAATAACGCAATAACTTAGGCCCAAGGTATCAGTGGACATATCAAACGAAGATAAGAGACAACAAGCGATAACGATTTTCGATTATAATTTCGACTTTGTAACCAATACAACATATTTCAAAACCCTTGATAAGCAGAGCAGATATTTTTTACCAAAAAATGTTAGTTTTCTAATTTTACGCGGCAAATATCATGCAATAATGATGTCAATTATACATTCCCTGTCAATTATAGGCCCCTGGGCTAATGCGATAAACTGTAGTTAAGAGGTCATTGCCCTGGGCAGTAAACCCGGGCAGTAAACTTTTGTTTCCTGCCCGGCCTATCAAATAACATGGCATTTTGACACCGACAGTTTCTTGGTCATAGTTTTACTGCCCGGCTCGTGCTGTGCTAAAGACATACCCCGGCATGTAGGACCAGTATAACGCCTTATGGGGCGACTAACGGAGCGAGCGAGAGGGTGGGCCTTGCACGTGCGAAATTTCGAGGGGGTACCTTCAACTGACTTGTGCACGGCACCCTACTAACCGGTCTCTAGCGATGTGCCAAATTTGAGCACAATCGGCCCAGCCGTTCTCGAGATCTGGAAGCGGCACCCTGCACGTGCGCACGTGCAAAATGGGTCCCAACTGACTTGTGCACGGCACCCTACTAACTGGTCACTAACCGTGTACCAAATTTGAGCGCCATCGGTCCAGCCGTTCTCGAGATCTGGAAACGACCCCTGCACGTGCGCACGTGCAGCAGCACCCCAACCTTAACACATGCAGATGAATTATCTGACGGAGACCTAACTGTGTACCGAGTTTCAGTTCAATCGGCCCAGCCGTTGTGCCGTTATTGAGTTTGCAATTTTGGGGGTTCTTAAAAAATGTCCAACTTTACCACGCGCCACGTGCGGTGGTTGGCAAGAACGCATGGTGGCCATCACACCACAGAACTTTTACGTCCAAGTGACATTCAGTAAAGAAGACTGCTTGTCAATCGGATGTCCCGTTCCTAAGATATTAGCTTTTGAAGAGCGTCCCCACGGCCGGCCGGCCGGCCGGCCGGCCGCTCATACTCAGGATTTTCCCTTAATTCAGTATGAGACTCCGCTCGCTTCGCTCGCTCCGTAAAAAGATAATTAGTTTTGCATGCCGCGCTACATCAAAGTTGATGATTGGTCCCCGAAAAAGTTACGATTTATTAACATCAGTTTGATTATGTCGTAGCGCTACCTGGTAACTGCGATCGTTGATGACGAGTAACATTGGTGGCGAAATTATTTTTGCACACTGGGTTTGTTTTCTTAGCTTTTAATTGTTCCTGTTCAAATAAATTTATCATTATTTGTTGTAATAAGTAATGACACAAAGCAATTCGAGGTACCCGAGCAAACGCACTGGATCGGAGCGACAAGAAAAGACTTTCAATTCTTTGACGCTTTTTTCGAAACGGTTGAACTAATCTTGTGCTCCGTGCATAGCAGACCATAAACGGTCCCAGGGGAAAATGAATTAGTGCCGGAGCGCACTAGAGACATTCAGTTTTCAATAAAAGTTGGCTCAATTCAAGGTGAACTGTCAGCATCAACTATTTTTCCTTCGACTGAACACTGTGAAGAGAAGATTCGTGTTAGGAACATTTGCATCTGGAGTATTTTGATGTTGCATTTGCATTTCAACTTACATTTGCTTTTAGGTTACATTTATGTCAGGTTTACCGTTTATGTAGCGATTGTATTAGGGAATCCATACACCTTTGCAATGCAATCATTACTATTTACTTTCATTATCTCTTAGTTGTATTGCTTCCAATAGATGGCAGCAGATGCTCGCGCCTGACTGTTATGCTGCGCCGCATGGCTCTTCTCAAAGCAAAACAGTAGCTGTGGCGTCAGCGAATGCGCGGTAGCGTCAGGTTAAGACATACCAAATATCAAATTAGTGTTTATATTTTTGGTTTACCAAATGCATCAAAAATGGATATCATTTAGCCGTAGCATAACAATAATGGTGATATGTTTGTCTTTGAACAAATACCTAATTACGAGCGAGCGAGCGCAGCGAGCGAAGCGAAGTCTTTTCAATATAACGGAAAAATCTCAGTATGAGCGGCCCGGCCCGGCCCGGCCCGGCCCGGCCCGGCCCGGCCCGGCCTGTAACGCTTTTGAGAGGCTTATATCTCAGCAACCGCTGGACCGAATGGCCTGCGGTCTTTTTTGCTGGGTAGCCCCATCCCTTCTACCCCGTAATTGACTACTTTTGATACATCTCAGTGACCGCCGTGGCACGTGCCACGTGAAAAGTCAAGGGTGTTCAAGCAGTTTTGCAAAAGTAATGATTCTGAGAGGCCCATATCTCAGCAGCGGCTTGAGCGATTGTCTTGCGATCATTTTTATAGGGTAGCTGCATCCCTTCTACCAAAGGTCGGATACTCTTCATCTATGTGAGTGACCCCCACTGCACGTGCAAAATACAACAATAAGAGGTGCCAAATTTGTTCCCATTTCAGTAACTCAGTAATTACTGGGGCGATTTCGCTGAAACTTGGCATACAGGTAGACACCCACCAGGCAATGCATTCCCATGTGTTGCGGTTAGGGTGCTACTGCACGTGCGCACGTGCAGGGGGCGTTTCCAGATCTCGAGAACGGCTGGGCCGATTGCGCTCAAATTTGGTACACGGTTGGGGACCGGTTAGTAGGGTGGCGTGCAAAAGTCATTTTGGACCCCGTTTGCACGTGCGCACGTGCAGAATGCCGCTTCCAGATCTCAGGAACGGCTGGGCCGATTCCGTTCAAATTTGGTACACCGCTAGCGACCGGTTAGAAGGGTGCTTTGCACAAGCCCGTTGGAAGTACCCTCTCGCCCTTCTGCACGTGCAGGGCTCACTATCTCGCTCGCTCGTTCTTCGCCCAAAAGGCGTTTTACTGGTTTAATTACTCACTTGAGCTACAAACATGTAACACAGTAAAGTCGCGGCATTCACTACCAAATAAGAGCATGCAAAACTCTAATACGGCGCCTTCTACACAGCACAGCCACACGATCAAGGTTCAACACATGTCTAAACGCAACTCAATACCATCATTATCCGGTGCAGTGCCTACAAAGAGTTAATGCAAACACAATCAGGAATGCGACGGTCATGCGAATCACGACCTATATGGCGACAGTCATGCAAGCTCTCCATTGTCCTAGATACCTTTCTTGACGCAGGGAAAACTGACTTCTACAGAGTAATCCTATCGTATGTACTACAATGGCTATGTGTGCGATGCCCGCACATCTTTCGACAATAATTCCCATATTATGGAGGGCCATTGCATGCTATCGAAAGGCATTAATTCTCTTCTTACACCAAAATGTTTGAAACATTGGATAAAAAGATAAAAGGCACCCGACATCAGCACAACCGATCTACAACAAAACGTTCAGGACAACCAGACTGCAGCACGGCCAGCCCATGCAGTTCTACTATCCGGGATGAGGTCACGGCTCGACAGAGATGCGGTCACGGCTATAAGGCGTACGGTCACGGCTCTCTGGGGTACGGTCACGGCTATACGGGGTACGGTCACGGCTCGTCCTCGCCAGCGCTCACGTCTGTGTGCAGCTTCTCCATCTGGTCGTTGAGCTCCTGCTCGCGTTTCTGGATGACCTCGTCTTTCCGCACCCTGTGTCCCCGGAACGTGGCCTGGATCTTGGTGGCGGCTGCGCTCAGCTCTGCAGGGCAAACAACACGGGTCCAGGCCAGAGGGTTAGCTTTGGCTACAGACTAATAATTATCCCATATAATGGGTAACTGAATGTCTCTTTCCTGGAACCAACCAGCTTCATACTTGATGGGGGCACAGGATGCACCCTCTCTGTGGAATACTTACTTTCCTAGTATCGCGCGTGTCGCATTGGTCGCCGGCTGCTGTCCCATATCGGTCCCATATCGGTCCCATCGCGCTCAGTGTTGCGTTAACGCTAACAGATATCGGGCGATGATGCCGTCCGGGAGACAGACCAATCTGCCACCGACGCGAGGGAGCAGTGTCGTGGCGTGATCGACGGGACCATCCCAGCTGATGTGGTCATGGAGCCTGTATGCACAGTGCTGTGTTTGGGGTAGTGTGTGGGAAGCCTGGGGGAAAATTGTGTTTGAAACGAACAGCGTACAGTGATAAATGATGTAAACGGTGGGACACGAAAACATGTAATGTGCGTTAACTAGGCCCCCGTTGCCCGCGCCACTATCACCAAGCGTTCGCCTCAGTTGGCTGTCAGCGGCCGAAACCACTCGCGTCGGCTCGTTTGTAGGGTAGGACGGCCCCTAAAAAACGCACCGACGGAGTGATAACGACGAGGTATATGGTCGGGATTAAGGATATGCAGGTTTTACGAATCTCGAACATCTGTTAAATAGGTGAGGGTGGGTGGGAAACTTCTCGCCTACTCTCTGCTCCACTCGCCGTCCGTCGCAGTCGACGACTGCCGTTCGCGCCTCTCGGCTCTCCTGCCAGCGGCGCGCCCGTTCCTACACTCCCCTTCGCACCACCCCTAGTCAGGGTCTGCCCCGCGTCTGTCGGCGGGGTGATTTATCCGTCTCCGACCCCCGTCTCCCTTTGCTCCGGTCACGTTCAATGGCGCCCGGGCAGGGTCCTAACCTTCCATAGCCGCGTCGCCGCTATGAGTTGATTGTAGTTAATTGAGCAAAATACGTTTGTGGAGTCGGGCAATATTGGAAAAATAACTTCGGAAAAAACGCCACAAATGCATGGCATCTTTGCCAAAATGCTGAGTTGAAGTTAGTACACAAAGTAACAAATCAAGACCGAATGCAACTTGGAAACTGAAAACTAAGGACGTAAAAACAATCAAGAAAAACTATGAGAACAGTCGTACATTCTTTTTCTATGTCTACATGTAAGAAGAAGCAATCTCAATGTGATATTGCGCTGCTGTGCAACATAAAAGGGCTGAACAACTCAGGAAAATGCAATCCCATTGTAGAAGAACAGGATCGCACAACTTTGTTATAAACCATGTGTCAACAGACATTCGGCATTTCACTCACATCCCAATGCATCTGACATTTCCAGATTGAGAAGTGAATCGACTGAACGAAAACAGATGACATATGCTGTTCGGCAAATGCCGTAGTCTCTATAAACATTTTGACAGTCGAGCGTGTATGGAATTCGTTTTATTTGGTCCTGACTCGTGGCTCTAGCCCATGACCTAGAGATTTATGGTTCGTGACCCGTGGCCTGTGATCTATGACTGATATTGATGAAACTAAATTGATCCATAAGGCTTTTGATTTGGGACGGATGGCAGTGATTTGAAACCAATGGCATCAGATATCGGTGCATTTTCTTCCCAAACTGCAAACAAATAAGCTAATATTCCAATGAGAGAGTGTTTTCGTATGCCTCCTTGTGTCGCACAATTTATGGGCAACAACTTATGGTCAAAACTTATGGTTTTAGCCCCAAGACACATAAGCTACAAAGCACTTTTTGTGACTCCTGGCGTAGCATTTCCAACGAACTCACAACAAATAAATCTAGGTCTGCCTTTTCTTACCTTTGATTCATAACTCTTATACTCTTCCTTGTCACGCGTTCATACCCAACCCATGAACCATAACTGATGCGCCACGTCATGTCTCACACCCAGCGCACCGTATCTCTACTCACAAAGCCCGGCTGCTGCCCCCCCTTCACCCCCCACCGCTGACCTGGGTCGGTGAGGTCGATATCGTCCGTGGCAGACGCCATGGTCCGTTCAGCCTTCTGTCGTTTGCGCACCTGGTGACCACGAAACGAGGCCTGGATCTTGGTGGCCGCTGCCGTCAGCTCAGCGTCCTCAGCAGGCTCTGCCGGAGAGAGGGGAGTGTGAGAGGGAGGGTGAGAGAGAGAGAGAGAGAGAGAGAGAGAGGGAGAGAGAGAGAGAGAGAGAGGGAGGGAGGGAGGGAGAGAGAGGGAGGGAGGAATGAGCAGTGAAGGGAGTGAGATGAGCTGACTGAAGTGTGTGACGATGAAGGCAATAAGGCGCTTCTGTCTGCTCCAGGGCTGACGGGAAGCTGTGAGAGCCGCGGTCGGATGGTTTATGAAATAAGCGGGGATTCGGGGATAAGCGGGGAGTGAAATTGACGCTACCTGTGGGTTATCAGTGTCTTCAACTACGTCAACTCTGGCGTATGAGTCGTAAATAGTTTATCAAACAAAAGAGGCGTCCGATATCGATGTGACATGTGTGATGGGTGGCAATCGTTGGGGCGGAACATCCGGATATGAGAGCGAACAACAGCAGACGACAGCTATCGATGGTGCGGGACGAGGGTCGAGGACAGGGACAGAGCAGGGGAGGAGGGTCCGCGCAGAGAGAGTGAGTGATGTCAGGGAGCGGGAGTGGGTGGCTCGGTAGGACCGTTCGGGGAACCGCGGGCCCCGGGGAGGTCTGATTCGATTCTGATGATTCCGACCGAGTCGGTACGTCCCGGCGACGTCGCCGAACCGGACGGTAGCACGCAGCGCCCCGCCCACCAATAATGAGCCACCCCTCCCACCCGCCCCGCCCCGCCCCTCCGTCCCCGCCCCCTCAGTCAGTCGGCCAGAACCGCCCCGACCCGTGGGAAAGAGCACGGTGAATACACTGCGCCCTTCACTCTGACCTATTGGATTTGAAGTCAGCTGGCTGGGGACAGAGTATTTGAAGGTGGAACAGCCAACGTGGCTTCGGCTTGATTAATAAATGGAGCCACACGTAACATAAAGACGCTGACAGGAGTTTGGCGACGCGGATAAAACTTGGCATGAAACGCTTTTAGTAGCCTATTTTTCATCATAACAACCTTAACAAATATTTGATGTGTCCAAGACAAACACCTTGGAAGGGGATTTTGTAGTTACGAAGCAAGATATTGACTGCAGTCGTCATCTTTATGCTATACAGTATTCCAGGTGTTTGATGTTGATCCACGCTTTCCACAATACTCCTACGTCCTTTGACAATCTTCGCTTCACCGACACCGATTGCCTGGAGAAGCTGATAGCATAGCCTAGTGACTCATCTGTGGAATGCATAATATTAATTGACTGAATCGTGTGTCGGCATTGCGAAAAACCGTCTGTTCAAAACATTATGCGACACCTTATCCTAATAAGTCATTGCAGAATAAAGTCAGAAATCTAACTCACAAAATAGAGCTGTAGGTAGACGAAAATCAAAGCGTAGGCCGTTAAAGGTCTAAGCGGATACAAACTGGCCCGTTATGTTGCTGGCGTACCTTCTCCCGGCCGTCACCTTTCTGCCAGATCCCTCCCTCTTCCCTTCCCAGGTAAGCCTGTTATAGCCCACGGTGGTCCCACGCTAAACGGAAGCCCTGAGACCGAGTGGCCGCCCTGGTCAGAGTAGGTCACAGTAGTAACACGGTCCACCGAGGGCACAAGGCGTCAATCTCAGTATAGCTCATCCATGTCGACTGTAGAAATTCCCTTGCAAAACACCAAAAACCAGCCACTCTCCCTACCCCTCTCCTACCGGCTCCTCCCCTCCCCCCGCCACGCGTTGGACACTGGGCCGGGCTGGGCGGCGGATCAGGCGACCGGTCAGCTGACCTGCCCCCGGGCGATAAGCACGTGACTGGCGTCCGCCGCAGCCGCCCGCCTGAGCCACGGAGAGGGCAGTCGCTGCCTGTTACCGGTTGGAGCCATATGTGTTCACGACTGATTTGTGCCTGAATTCACCTATTACAAACATACTCATCAAGAGATACCTACCTACGAGAACATCGAGAGATCTACCTACGCGGTTCGTCCCGGCAAACCTACGCGGGGAAGTACCAGTGAGACCGACCAAATCACAGGACCGACGACTTCGAGACAAGACCTACGTCAAGGTAAGCCCGGCCTGTGTCTGTGGTGGTCCAACGTTCCCCTCGAATTCTCATCCCTACATCATTACCCTGTCAAAACCAACGTCAAAGAATAATTTTCTGTGTGCCCCTCGTACAAATCCGTACATAGAAAAACTGTGATTCATCATCAAGACCCTGCTGCAGTCGCTTCATCAACGTCAAGATCCTGCTGCAGTCTGGTCTTCAGCGTCAGCACCCTGCTGCAGTCGCTTCATCAACGTCAAGATCCTGCTGCAGTCTGGTCTTCAGTGTCAGCACCCTGCTGCAGTTGCTTCATCAACGTCAAGATCCTGCTGCAGTCTGGTCTTCAGTGTCAGCACCCTGCTGCAGTCGCTTCATCAACGTCAAGATCCTGCTGCAGTCTGGTCTTCAGCGTCAGCACCCTGCTGCAGTCGCTTCATCAACGTCAAGATCCTGCTGCAGTCTGGTCTTCAGCGTCAGCACCCTGCTGCAGTCGCTTCATCATCAAGACCCTGCTGCAGTCGCTTCATCAGCGTCAAGATCCTGCTGCAGTCTGGTCTTCAGTGTCAGCACCCTGCTGCAGTCGCTTCATCAACGTCAAGATCCTGCTGCAGTCTGGTCTTCAGCGTCATCACCCTGCTGCAGTCGCTTCATCAGCGTCAAGATCCTGCTGCAGTCTGGTCTTCAGCGTCAGCACCCTGCTGCAGTCGCTTCAACATCAAGACCCTGCTGCAGTCGCTTCATCAACGTCAAGATCCTGCTGCAGTCTGGTCTTCAGCATCAGCAACCTGCTGCAGTCGCTTCGTCAACATCAAGACCCTGCGGTAGTCGCTTCATCAACGTCAAGGCCCTGCTGCAGTCTGGTCTCCAGTGTCAGCACCCTGCTGCAGTTGCTTCATCAACGTCAAGATCCTGCTGCAGTCTGGTCTTCAGCGTCAGCACCCTGCTGCAGTCGCTTCATCATCAAGACCCTGCTGCAGTTGCTTCATCAACGTCAAGATCCTGCTGCAGTCTGGTCTTCAGTGTCAGCACCCTGCTGCAGTCGCTTCATCAACGTCAAGATCCTGCTGCAGTCTGGTCTTCAGCGTCAGCACCCTGCTGCAGTCGCTTCATCAACGTCAAGATCCTGCTGCAGTCTGGTCTTCAGCGTCAGCACCCTGCTGCAGTCGCTTCATCATCAAGACCCTGCTGCAGTCGCTTCATCAGCGTCAAGATCCTGCTGCAGTCTGGTCTTCAGTGTCAGCACCCTGCTGCAGTCGCTTCATCAACGTCAAGATCCTGCTGCAGTCTGGTCTTCAGCGTCATCACCCTGCTGCAGTCGCTTCATCAGCGTCAAGATCCTGCTGCAGTCTGGTCTTCAGCGTCAGCACCCTGCTGCAGTCGCTTCAACATCAAGACCCTGCTGCAGTCGCTTCATCAACGTCAAGATCCTGCTGCAGTCTGGTCTTCAGCATCAGCAACCTGCTGCAGTCGCTTCATCAACGTCAAGATCCTGCTGCAGTCTGGTCTTCAGTGTCAGCACCCTGCTGCAGTCGCTTCATCAACGTCAAGATCCTGCTGCAGTCTGGTCTTCAGCGTCAGTACCCTGTTGCAGTCGCTTCATCAACGTCAAGACTCTGCTGCAGTCTGGTCATCAGCGTCCAGCCTGCTGTCGCCTCATCTAGTATCACTACCCTGCAACCATGGAGAAGCTTCGGAACGCTCGAGCGAACAGTAAGCGTTCGTTCTCCAGAATCAACAGAAACCTGTTACGGCACATCACAGACAAGGCTGAACCAAGCCTAGTCCAAGACTGCTGGGGAGAGTTGCAGACAGCGTGGTCCGATGTCGAACGGAAGCACAATGACTACGTTTCGCTGCTCTCATCTGAACAGGAGATGGAGAAGGAAGATACCTGGATGGACGAGATGTATGACATCTTCTCAACCACGAAGAAAGCCTTCTTCAGCTTCAACAATGAGACCATGAAGAATGTCAAGGAGGAAACCGGAACCAACGAGCAGAACATCAAACAGCCAGAGATCCAGAAGCTCAAGATGCCGCTGTTCTCCGGAACGCAAGATGATGTGATGTCGTTCAACGATTTCCTCAAGATGTTCGACGATCTCATCGGCAACAACTCGGCCTACAATCAATCGGCTAAGCTGATGTACTTGAAGAGTTATCTGCGTGGGAACGCGCTAGATACCATCAAACACTTGTCAACTGAAGAGAAAAACTACACCATCGCAAGAAAGTTCCTAACCGAGGAATATCTCGACACTGATGTCATCGTGGAGGCACATATCAGGAAACTCCACGACTTAACCCCACCACCTGCAAGAGATCTGCCAGCGCTGCGCGCGTTCTTTAATACTGCTCGCACCTCTGTGTATGAACTCAAGGCGTTTGGATACGACGCACTCGAAGACGGAACTCTTGGAAGCAAAATTGTCAGCTTCATCATCTGCGAAAAACTCCCAGTGAACTTCAAGGTAAAGTTGAGCGCAATCCTGCACACTGACTACCCTTCTACAAGACAACTGCTCGAGAACTTCAACGCCGTGATCAAGTCGTTGATGAAGACGACACCTGCAAAGCAAGAAACAAAACACACCACGGACCTCTCGTCGAAGCCGAAACAGCTCAAGACAACAGAGGTCGCCGGCTCAGCCAAACCAGCGAAGTCGTCACTACAACGATTCCAAACCAGTGCCGAGCCGATCAAGAAGACTCCCAGTCATTCCACATCGAAGTTCAAGGCGTGCAAGCTGTGCGAAGGTGCACACTCCATGCTGAAGTGTTCAGCGTACACATCACCTCGAACACGAATCCAACGCCTCAAAGACCTGGAGCTCTGCACAAAATGCAGTGGATCCCACAAGCTGACGGACTGCAAAAGCCAGACATCAGGTCTCTCGTATCCCTGCACGCTGTGTGGCAGCAAGCAACACATATCAGCAGTGTGTGTCGTCAAACCTGGAGAGACCACGCCACTGCAAAGTGGAATGCGTCTG